AAGTATGATACAAACAATTCTCATATTTGTCAGCCTCATTATTTATTTTATCACCTCACTGTCGAAATCTTTACTAAGTTATAGCCGAATTGATACACTATAAAGATTATGGACAGATGGTATTAAGTTAATTGCTGCTGCACAAAGTTATATAATTCATGCACAATTTCATTGCTTGTATATAAAATTTTAGACCATTGATCTTAAGCTAACATAACAAAATAAATTTCGTGACTTATTTTAGTAGGTATTGTTTAATTAAATTGCTCGATCCATCCCATACGTTAGAATCCATCATATAAAGTTGGATAGGGTTGTGATTTATTTGATGATTTTTCTTTTTCCTTGTGATTATATCTATTGTAAGCAAATCATAGTTGGATAAAGTTGTTGGCAAGACTGCTGCATAAATTCTAGAATTCATGCAAAAATTTCGTTACTTGTATATAAAATTTTAGACCATTCATGATCTTAAGCTAACACATGACAAACCAAACTATCGCGACTGGCCAGTAGATGTTCTCTAAGATCTTGTGCATGGATTATTGTTTAATTAAATTGCTGGATCCATCTCATACGTTAGAATCCATCATATAAAGTTGTATACGGGTTGTGATTTATTTGATGATTTTCTTTTTCCTTGTGAATCACAATGAAATTTCATTGTTTCTTATAGAACAAAATGTTCGTTTATTTCTTTGAACTCAATTAGATGTCTCAAATATTTAGATTTGGCTAATATTTTGCAAGGATGATTCAAAAGGTGTAACTTGAAAATAGACCGTTCGGATTGTTAAAGGATGACGCGGTGTGAATATATATATATATGGTTTTATTTGTATTGACATGGACAAATATTCTAGGACATGACCTATGCACAATACAGTCTCAACTTCCAACATATGATCGTAACATATCCAAACTACCATGCATGTGTATTTGTTTTCACATTAAGATGGGATAGTTTCAGCTAGATTGCATACGTTCAAAATGAAAATTACTTTCGTTAACCACATCTTCTCAACTATTTTGTTCAAATTGGACCGCATGGCTCATTTCATGATTTTCCAGCAGCTGGTGAGTTTACTGCCGTATTTCTATATACTTTCTTCTATTACGACCAAGATGTTAGAAATACCCTTGCAAAGGTCATGATTTACGATTATAATGCTGATCTTGTAAGCTGAAAATTATTTATTTCGCAAGACTGCTAATTCTTCACAATTGAGAAAAAAAAATTAATTTATTATTTGAATGATGAACGTAGTTGAAGTTGATTTTGAAGTTCCAATAAATCTCGATTAAAAAAATTTGAGAATAAAATTGAGTAAAACGAAGTAGTTTTTTTTTTTTTTTTTTTTTTTTAAGCTACAATGATTTGAATATGTTTGAAATACAGCATATCAAACAATTAAACAACTCAATTTTTACTTCACTCAAGCGATCATCTAATTTGTAAGCCTCCCACCAATGACATAAACAAAGAGCTCCACATGATGATGATGGTGGATACTTCAGTAATATGATGTTTGACACAAAAGTAAAATACTTGATCAACCAGAAGATCAAACTCATTATTTCTCATGTGATGCAGTTTTGGTTACATGCTTGAACTAATGTCATTGCGTTCACAATCTTTTAATCTTTCTTTTACAATACTTGTGACTAATTAATTGTGACCTAATTGTGACCCACAATAAAGATATCATAAACATAGGTGAAATATAAATTCAAAATATTATATTTCTTCTAACTTATTTGCTTCACTCAAACGATCACGGTCATTGTAGTATTCGTTATGATCGTCATAATGTATAGTTACATAATAGCCCCCCGAAAAACACTAACTAGTCAAGATTGGAAAGTAAACAATTGAATGATCATTTTTTGAAACAAATAACTATATTCAATGATTGAGAGTGGAATAAGTACAACCTTGAAGATATGGTGCTTATATGAGTCTCAATAAGAACTTTGCCGAAAATTTCAACTCGATTGAAGAGAAAAAGAACGTCCACACATTAACTTGAAAGCTATCCTTAGTTATAGAGAGAAAGCAATACAAATCACTATAAGTTATCTTCAGTGAAAATGTCGGTGATTAAGTTTTGGTGGTTCCTCGAACCACGCCTCCTGTTGACGGCCGATTACTGCTCTTGCTAGCCTATGTGCCCATTGACCAAACTATATCCAGAAAGCTAACAATTCTTTTTCCTCTATTTATGATGTCTCTGTACAATTTTTGAATTCGTTATTTCTTTAGATCTTTGCCTTTGAACAATCCCATAAACTCGTGCTGTATTGTACCAATGACCTTAGAGCCTGCGTAAACCCAATAAGTTTTCAGATTAAAGGCCCAATTCTAGACTAAAGGTCCAATATACCTAATTATGAATAAACTATATCCTTTCACAGCTGCTAGTTTTATGCATGTAACTTGTAACTTGGTCGAAAACCCAGGTGGCGTGACAGTTACCATATTTAATAAGAAATGTTGAGGACTTAAGAGCTCACATTTAGTTATTAAATTGGGCTTGGGACGGCTGATAGCCTGATGTACACGACAAATTGATAGTTGGTGAGATCTCATTCCTCTATTTAAAGTTAACACTAAGATGAAATTTCTCAATTTAACCCTCATTAGAACGTCATTGATAATATGTACCATTAATTAAGCAACGAAATTCCCATTCTCTGCGAGAGAAGGTGAAACAGGATAGTCTCATAAATATTTTATCCCAACCATGGGTCAAACAATTAAAAGACAAATAATATGAGACCATGGACTGAATTCCTTCCCTAATATCACATTTATATAGTATCTAGTTTACTAATCAGTAAACAAAATAAGATAAATGAATTGAAAAGGAATTAATTTGAGAAGGAGTTGGAATTGGATGGAATCAAAATCAAAATCCTTTGGAAACGGTTTACTAAATTTTTTAAGAAATGGAATAGGAATAATATTGAACCATATAAGTTGTTTACTAATTCATATGAATCAAAATAGAAATCAATGTGACTACTAAAATACCCCTAGTTAATAGTCTATTTTATATGCTAATTTTTTTACTTATTTATATTTTTGGTAAAACTTTATTTTATTTTATTTTAACTTTGTGAGAATTTTTTTAATTATTTTATTTTATTTTTGCCAAGAACAAAATTGGGTGTTGGGGTAATATGAAGAGCAATCTTGAAATTTTAGAAATAAATGAGGGTATAACGGGGAGAAAAAATTCCTTCTGATTCCCCAATAACACAGAATTCAACCCTCACCAAATTGTAGGGAATCAGTTGGATTCCAAAATATGCATGATTCCTCAAATTTTGATTCCTAAATATTTGGTAAACACCAGAGTTTTCTGTAATCGAAATTCAATTCTATTTTTTTGTTTCGATGACCCTTACATAAACGCACTGTAAATGTATTTGTGATCATTTAGTTTGAAGAACCCCAACTGCTATTGCAAAATGTGCGACTAATGTCTTTCTTAATTATTGTTTGCTCTTTTTTCTTTTCTTTTTTTATGTGAGGCATTTTTTTCTTAAACTTGAGTTGAAAAATCCAACAAGATTTTTATCTTTTTTGTTTTTTTGTTTTTTGTTTAATAAAATTGTCAGGCAACATAAGACACATCAATTGAGCAAGGGTAAAGCTAGGAATACATTAGTTTCTAAAATTTTATCTACAAATTTAACCTCTCTATTGTTATCCTTTTAAAAAAAATTAAATCATGACCTTCATCTCATGCTCTTGGATCTAAAAGAAAAGAAAGAGGTGCCATCAGGTTTAAGGTCATTGGCATTAGCTTAATCAAGTATAATCTAGAGTGTTGATGTGTTCACTATTCAATTAAATATGTTAATTACAGCCATCACACACAGGGCTGAGGTGACCCGTTCTTAGCTGGTTTAATTAGCCCGAATATTTTTTTTATTACAAAAAACAACCCTAATTCATTTGTGCTGCGTCATAACTTTGAAGGTTAGGATTGATGGTTACAGAGCCTACTTCACCGCCGGTGATGGAGCTGCTTTCAACTGTACAAAAAAAAGGTACAAATCACCAAAAAATAGTATACTGGTGTTTAATTAAATTTTATACCACCACCTCCTTCAAAATATAAATATTTATATCACATACTAAAACTGTACGAAATAACTTTTTTATAAGAAAGTCTATTAATCAGAAGATTAAAAATGTGACATATGTCCAACAAAAAACTACAGGTTGGGCAAAAGCTAACAATACTAGAGTACATGAGCACGGAGACTGCTGGTGAACAGCCAAAGATTTGTTCTCGCCATTGAACACCAAAGTTCCTTGACTTCCAAGGCTGCTATCTTTTGTCTTCACCATATAAGACTCCTTCCTTTTGCTTCAAAGTTTCCGAAATATTTTGCCTTCTTCTTGCTTGGACCATCAAGCTTTTGTTTTCTTCTCCATCCCTCAGTCACAGTCCATAATTATTAATCAACTACCCTCCATATATACCAGTTATTAAGACTTGTTTTTTCTTTCCAAGAACCAAAATGCCCTTGAACTGCTTTTGTTGTGCCACCGAAGAAGATCGAGAACCAGCTGAGACCAGGTAAACTTGATGTAATCTAATTATAGCCTGATCTATGTTTATTGGTGATTAATTATATATCTTTACTCGCTACTACTTTTCATGTATTTATTAGTTCTGGGGTTTGCTTGTTCAATTAATTAGTAGGGTTCACAAGAACAGGGATTACCCGTGGGAAGTATATTCTCTCAAGGAGCTTCTTCATGCAACGAACAGCTTCCACCATGATAACAAAATTGGAGAAGGAGGGTTTGGAAGTGTTTATTGGGGTCGAACAAGTAAAGGCGTCGAGGCAAGGCAATCATGTCCATCTTTTTCCCTTGATTTTTCGATTCTTCCGATCATCACCAGCTAGCAAGCTGCATGATCAATTAATTTATAATTTTTACAACAAAGTATTTTCTTCTTCTTTTTTCAATTGGTTGGTTTTAGTAGTCACACTTAATTTTGTCACATATATTTATGGTTCAGATTGCTGTGAAACGATTAAAGACAATGAGTCCAAAGGCAGAGATGGAGTTTGCAGTGGAAGTTGAAATACTTGGAAGGGTGAGACACAGAAATCTGTTAGGCCTGCGGGGATTTTATGCCGGAGGTGATGAAAGGCTCATAGTGTACGATTTTATGCCTAATCATAGCTTGATCACCCATTTACATGGCCAACTTGCAGCAGATTGTCTTCTTGATTGGTCAACAAGACTGAGCATCGCCATTGGATCAGCTGAAGGTTTATCGTAAGTTATATAAAAGCTAATTAATAGTTAATTTGCTCCACAAAATCCGTTATTAAATATAAAAGTAAACCCTTGATTGTGTCACCTTATTCTGGGTGTTCCTTAAGTAAACCCTCGATTGTGTCACCTTATTATGTATGTTCCTATCTTTGCTAAATGAATCATTCAGATAAGTACTCCTCCAAAATTCAAAAGTGGGGAAATGAGCTCATCCCCAAGGGGGGTAATCAAGTATTATATATCCTTCTTAATTAATATACAAATATAGGTGTGAAAGATGCTTTTGCCTACCTAAGCTTTAATTCATTGATAATAAGATATAGCTAGATAACATTTCTATGAGCTTCAAATTGTTTTGAATTATGATTAGATTCATTGGAAGTCTGTTAACATCCTTAAAAAAGGACGTCAAGATCTAATTGTCATCAATTAAACTTGATGGTTGGATTCTAATTTTGGTCCATCCACTTTAGTAGGTACGGGATCATTGAGTTATGAACACATAGATTGCTATTGTAGGGATACTAACGTATTCATGTGTATGTTCATAACTTAGGAATACAAATTAAGTTTAATAATAATTAAATCTTATACATCGATGATAATCTAATTATTTCGTAATTCATATGAAATACTTTTCTGTATGATTTAGCATTGTTCAATTTTCTTCGTCGTTTGCATTGTTAAGGTACCTGCACCATGAGGCCAATCCTCATATAATTCACAGGGACATAAAGGCCAGTAATGTGCTTCTAGATTCTGAATTCGAAGCAAAAGTTGCTGATTTCGGATTTGCAAAGCTGATTCCGGACGGTGTAACTCATCTGACCACTAGGGTAAAGGGAACTCTTGGATATCTAGCTCCTGAATATGCCATGTGGGGGAAGGTTTCTGAGAGTTGTGATGTTTATAGCTTTGGGATTTTGCTCCTAGAAATAATTAGTGGAAAAAAGCCGATAGAAAAGCTACCAGGAGGAGTGAAACGTGATATTGTTCAATGGGTCACCCCTTATGTCCAAAAGGGTGCATTTAATCAAATTGCTGATCCAAGGTTGAAGGGCAAGTTTGATAAAGTACAAGTGAAATCGACGGTCCTGATTGCTATGAAATGCACCGATAATAGCCCCGACAATCGTCCCCCCATAGAGGTGGTGGATTGGCTTAAGGGAGGTATAGGAAGAAGGAAAAAGGAGATCACAAAAGTGGAGGACACTGAGGATGATGAAGGCAGCGAAGGTTACGATGAGAGCCAACCCTGAGGGTGTGCAACATGTGCCACCGCATAGGGCTCCTGATTCGTAAGGACCCCTAAATTTTCATTATATGTATACAGATGCATATAAAACAATTAGATGCAAAAGACTATCTTATCTATGGTACTAGTGCAAGCGGTTTAGCTCTTCTTTCTTATAGCCTATGTGCTGGGTTCAAATCCCAGTGACATTGTTTTGTTATATTTTAAGCTTTTGCAAATTTGTAAACAGGAGATAACAAAAAGGCATCCAACGTGTATCGAACTCAGGACCTTTGAAGGTAAGAAAAAACACATGGCTTATCAAACAACTTATTTTTGTTGCAGTAACTTGTAATATTTTAGTTTTATAGATGAAAAAATTTTAAAAAAATAATAATAAAGAAATATAACATTAAAAAAAATGAAAGGTCTTCATCTAAGTTTTGCACAGGACCCCTCAATACTCAGGGCCGGCCGATAACATTGATGCTCAGCATGAAGTTTATGGTGTGGAGCTATCCGATGCAAGAGAGAATATTACAAGGGCAAGACCACAAAGAAGATAACTTCAAAAATCTTCATCTTTTTATTTTGTGAGGTTGGAATGTATATTTTTGGCCTTTGCTTTTTGTTTGCATGCGAAATCGAAATATTGTATTTTTCATAACCTTAATTAATTAGTTTACTGTTGTCAGGCATCAGTCTTGTATCAGAAAAATGAACCAGAAGTCTATAATTTATAGGGAGCTTTAATGAAAAGGGCTTGAGCTAACTTTTATTTAATGAAAAACCACCCTAAACTATTATTTAATAAAAATGGTTTAAATTTTAATCATAAGGACACAAAACTTTTATCTCAGACCCTATAAAAACTAAAACACACGGGCTCACCAAAAAACCCAAACGGTATAACAATTAATATTCCAAAATTGCCCCTAACGGAGCCTAACCCAGGCCTGTTAGCCAAAAGGAGATCCGAAGGAAGACCATTGGAACCGGAAGGCTGAGGTATCAGCGCAGTGTGCCTCAAAGATTCAAGAGCTGTTTCAGAGAAGGTAATAATCAAATAATTTTTTGGGAGATTTTTATGGTCTTGCTCTGTTTGTTTGTTCTTCATTTGTTTTCTTCGGTTTGAGTTTTGTGCTTGAATTCGTTTTCATATTGGGAATTTTGTTTTGAATAGGTACCGAAGCTGCACCAAGGAATAAGGAAGCAGCCGCAAATGCTTAAGTCTTCTCAGCAGTCATTTTGATTGCAATTTGGGTACTCAACTACAGCTTTAGAAAGCGATTATGATTCTGCACAAGTTCTGTATGAAGCTGTTTTTTTTTTTTTTTTTTTTAACCTTAAATATTAATTGCTTTTTTGTGTTGGTGAGACTAATGTCAGTTGCCTTTCATAATTCGTAATGCTTTGGTGATGTGCAATGTCTTTGAATTTATAATGAGTCAGCTAATATTTATTATTCCAATTTTTCTCTCTATTGTAAATTTTAATGCCTATTGTGCCCTTCAAATCTCCACACGGTTGTAATTCAATATTTTTTTTGTATGGAAGGCTGCTCATTGAACTTATATATGCATATTTACATTATATCATGTTTTTCTCCTCGATGTCTACCAAATTAATGGCTTAAGTGGACTTCTTCAATGAAGGCAGCAATAGCCTCTTCATTCTTTTCCTCCATGTCTGCCAAATCAATCCTATAGGTTCCCAACATCCAGCAACATTCATTAGGCTCCATGTCTTTGTTCTTCGTCCAATTATATACCCCTTGAAGGCTACATTATAAAATTAGATATCCAATTATTTTACGGGATATTGATAGAATTGAACACTGATTATTTCTTGAACTGAATATAGGTATTATCACTATTTCGTAAACTTAACACGGGCACTATCGCTTTTTTTTTAAACTGAACATGGTTACTAACACTATTTCTTAAACTTAACACTAGTAATATCATTATTTCTTAAATTTAAGACTAACTATTTCTTAAACTGACACATATACTAACACTATTTCTTAACTTAACACGAGTATTATTACTATTTCTTAAACTAAACACTAACTATTTCTTAAATTGAACACATGTATTATTACTATTTCTTAAATACTTCTTACCTTTTTTTTGTTTTTGCTAAAAAAATTATAATGAGAATGTCAACAACAATTTAATTGAAGTTAAATCACATCGTTGAATATGATAAATGTAAACTTTCTCACATTATAGAAAATGACAATTATAAATGACACTAATACTATCATTACTTCTTGAACTGAACACTGACTATTTCGTAAACTGAACATTGACTATTTCTTAAACTGAACGCTAGTACTATTACTATTTCGTAAACTAAACACTAACTATTTCTTAAACCGAACACCTTGTAAACTAAACACTTATTATTTCTTAAACCTTACACTAATACTATCACTATTTCGTAAACTAAATAGACTATTTATTAAACCAAGTAATTATACTATCACTATTTCGTAAACTAAGCACTGACTATTTTTCAAACCAAACACTAGTATTATCACTGTTTCGTAAACTAGTACTGTCACTATTTCGTAAACTAAGCACTGACTATTTTTCAAACCAAACACTAGTATTATCACTGTTTCGTAAACTAGTACTGTCACTATTTCGTAAATTAAGCACTGACTATTTCTTAAACCAAAAACTAACTATTTCGTAAACTAAACACTGACTATTTCTTAAAATCGAATACTAGCACTATCGCTATTTTGTAAACTAAACGCTAACTAGTGCGTTGTTTTTGTTCTGTTTCAGAAAAGTGAGTTATTTTGATATAGTTTCAGAAATAGTGTTTATTTTGTTCCCTTTCAGAAATAGTGTGCGTTGTTTTTGTTCAGTTTCAGATAAAACGTGGGTAATTTTGTTATAGTTTCAGGAATTGTATGGGTTATTTTGGTTCAGTTTCAGAAATAATGTTCGTTATTTTGTTATAGTTTCATAAACAATGTTTATTTTGTTCCATTTCAGAAATATTGTGAGTTATTTTGCTATAGTTCCAAAAATAGTGTAGGTTATTATGATTCTATTTCAGAAATAGTATGAGTTATTTTGTTCCCTTCAAGAAATAGTATTTATTTTGGTTCTATATAAACGAGCAACATGCGGCAGGATTGCGAGAATTATTTGTTTGATCTCTATCCTTTTACAAGCAACTTAATCTGGTGAACGTCTAATCACCCCTTAGTGAAGTATACAAATCATTGCCCTTAGTGTTGTTATTTTGGTTCTGTTTCAGAAATAGTGAGTTATTTTGGATCTGTTTTAGAAATAGTGTGTGTTATTTTGCTGTAGTTCTAGAAATAATGTGGGTTATTTTGGTTCAGTTTTTAGAAATAATATGGGTAATTTTGCTATAATTCCAAAAATAGTATGAGTTTTTTAGCTTAGTTTCAGAAATAGTGTTTGTATTGAAGCTGAAACGTATTTGCCCTTTAATCATAGATAGGAGCTGGAAGAAGGCATCCCTGAAACCTCAGGAAAAACCATCACTTACATGTCAAGCAATTGCATTTGTGATGTATAGTATACGATAATGGTTATAAAGAAAGACCTGACACTTCACGGCAACTAGCAGCGGCCAACAAAGGAGATGGGGTGGTCAAATATGCGCTCAGATACAACCTTTCTTAAGCAAAATTCAAAGTTCTTAGTAGTACTTTTCATATATTAGATCCCTCATAAGATTTTCTTATCCCCTTCTGGTTTCTTACTGATTAAATTAATAAAATCCTCCATGTCGTAATTTGATTAGTTAACCAGAAATGCAATTCTCTTCAAATTAGATGTAAATAAGAAAGACAGCAACTAATTCCTAAACTAACCCACCCAAAAGGAAAAAGCCATTCATAAATCTCAAAAAAATGGCACTCCTCCATCAAACCTCTTTGTTGTACTTTCAACAATCAGGGGAGCATCAAACCTGCACTCAGTAACTTTAAATGAAAAAAGAAAAATATTTCCTCACTCAAGAATTTCAATGCCGAAAATTCAGTAACAAAAACAAACACAGCAGCTCCAGCTTCCCGGTCGCCGTCGTCTTCACCTTCATCATTATTCGATTGCAGAAATTCAATAACAAAAACAGAACTGTAAATTGAAATCAGAAATGAAATTGCAACAAACAAATCTTTTAAACAAGAAACCGATCGAACGAGAAAGATAGCGTGTTATATTGATCACAAGAGAAACTGAGCTCCAGAGGCTCGATGCTGAGACGCTCACCCGTGCTATCGGATTCGATCGATTCAGTTGATTCGAAAAATGGAATTCGAATTGAAAATGAAAAGCAGGTTGGGTGGAGAGATCGAAAGAGGGAGAGAGAGAGAGAGAGATTCAATCAATCCAATTGCAACAATGGAGGAAGTGGAATTGAATTGGAAGTAAAAATAATAGCAGAGAATAGATGGAGAGATCAAGAAATGGAAAGAGTTAATGAACGGGCAGAGCTTAGCATCAGGGGTAAAATAGGGAACTCAATGTTTGGGCCATTTTGATTAGACTAGTTTAGTGTTGGGCTTTGTCCTAACCATTAAATAAAGTTTTTACATGGCTTTTGATTAACTTTTAAAGTTTTCAAGCCATTTTCATTAGTTTTCCTTAATTTATAAGTACTATTCCTTTTTGGTTCATCTGTTTGTCTTGCTAGTTTGTAACATTTTAATATAAGTTTGCTTTAATTTTTTTTTAAGAAAACTTTGACTGTTTGAGAAATTCCTTGAATTAGGTGTATGTTCTCCATGTGGATTTATGTTTTTTTGTTAGAAAATATTAGGTAGATTAAAAATAAACCAATCTTTAAATATTAAAAATTCAAAAATACAAATAAAATGATGCATGAAATTAAAAGATTTTAATTATCACTAATATTTATAGAAAAAAAAATGTAAAATGAGTATAAAAAAATAAAAGGGAAAGAAAAGGTAATACTGAACTTAACTTGATAGCATGTTGATTTTTTGGACTGATTTTTTAAATCTAAATGTCTCTTTTATTTATTTAGGTTTGGAAGTTTGCTATACTTCCGATCGACGAATGTTTACCTGCCCTAATTTCAAATTTTTCTTGGTTGGAATATTAGGTGTGTTATTTTTCAAATTGGAAAATTGAAAAATGAAAGCAACGTCATCTTATTATTAATCATGATGACCTTAATTAATAACATAAAATATGTCATTGCATGTTGAAAGAAGCATGTAATTGATTATATTTGTTACTCCACCGGACGCGTTGGTGTTTTATATGAAACAACAAATGAGTCGCACCATTTGAA